ATAACTAATAAGCTTATAAGCACTGGGTAAATTGAATATGGTTTTCACTTTTTTACGTTTACTTCATTTGCAATATTGTTCATCTGCTATAACCGATTGCAAATCTTATATAATCATCGCAGATATACTCATCTGGCAATGAATTTTAAAATTTATAGCCGCTCAAATAGGTAATGCATATATTTCACACATATTCCATTTAGCGCCTGCGAAACTGTGTCTTTACAATATCATTTCTATATGAAAAGCACTAAAATTACTATAAGAATGTAAGAAGAGTTGGAAATAAGTAAAATAACACTTATATGAGAAAAAACTTTGGGTCCTTGTGAAACTTTAGTTTATTACGTGCATCAGTCCTTCAACGCGGATCAAGGACTAGCTAATTTAGATAGATCTATTTTGGGACTGCTGTTAAATTTGTAGGTATACCCCTATGCAGTAAAATGACAAGCCATCATCGTTGTTTTGATGAACTTAAGAATATTGATGGCAGATAATGAAAGTCAATAATTTATATTACGATGCCAAGTAGATTACGTGTACCTAAAATGTAACTCAGTATTAGTGATGTTAAATTTTTTCAGAGTAAAATAAATCTAAATTAGTTGATTTAATATTGTAGTAGTTAAAAATTGTCGATGATTCCGTTGACGTAGTATATTTAGCATACTTCTTTGGTTGTTAATCATGATAGTATTGATGTATTAAATAATATATTTATTACATCAAAATAGGCGATTACCTTAAATTAAAAATTATAATTGACTAATTTAGCATATTACGCAACATTAATCATAACTATATCTCCCATAATATTATGCAGCAAAGGAGTTACTCCAAAAATCATTTTCATTGATTTAATACCTTTTCACTTTTTAAATCTATCCGGGAATTTAGTGGATTTAGCCTTATAATCACCGGTAGTATAGCAATGTAAAGTATAATACGACCTTAATGATATCCAAACATTAAAAATACAACCAGTAATTCAAACATTAGCCGCTAAACTTTAATTCAGTAGCCGTGACTCGATACCAAATTTTTTAGAATAAAACGATTTCAGGATATAGCAATAACGCAAAATACCCTTGTTATAATTTTTAAAATTGTTATAATTTAAATTTTAACGCAAGTAACATTTTCCTTTCATTTATTATAAGACTGCTAATGTAGGATAACATAATTTATATAGTAATTCTATAAATTAAAGATAATAATACCCCTTATTGCATAACAATCATTAATGTCTTTAGTTTTGCTATACAAGTCAGCTTCTACGTATAATTACTATTTTTCGAAACGATGCCATTTAAATAGAAAGCGACGATTAATACTCTCTATAAGTACATGAGTATTACGTTTTAAAATTACTTCTAATGAAGACTTTGCCAATATCCATCATATTCGCAAAAAGTACAGTTAATAATCTTTATTGTTATATGATACAACCATCGATTACGCAACTGTGTGGCTGTAATTAAGCCATTAATACTGTTGTATCAAAAGTTTATTGCTAAAACTTAAGTTCTGTATAATACAGGATGGCATCAGATGTTATCTAGATGCTATCCTGAAAAGAAGTAATCTAGAACAGTACCTTCAGAGTAATCAACCTACTTAACGTTCCAGATATAAAACTTTGCTTTCCAATATTGGTTTCCAACCGGTTATGGTACATCGCAGTTAAATATATATATAAGCATTAAATTTCATTTTATCGGTAGTTTATCGTACTAAACTACTTTATTACTCAATTTTCTCAGATTATATGCAGAATGGTTGAAATTTCAAATAGATCTAAATTCTCTGATGTGCCTTACAAACAAACAAAAATACTACCATCAATAATATAACTCTATAGACAGTTTACAGATTAGTAAATCTACTATACTTTGAGTCAGGTCTACTCACATAACTCTCGGATAATCTTAATCTTCACTTATTAATAATTTTAGCCTTATTTAAGTTATTTATTCTCAGCTACGACTTAAGAAAATTCCATTAACTATCGCTACCTAGAAAACTACAATATAATATTGATAAAGCAGGTTAATTCAATATATACGAGAATTTCGATTAATGAAGGCCACTTAAACTCTATTTATCAGGCAATATGTAATACATACCTATAATTGATATTTACTCTTTTAAAATACTAAAGCAAGGTTTTATATAGTTTCAAATTAAAGTATCGTAGTGACAGTACGCTATTGATACAAAACAATTTCAATATCTATCTTAGACCAGTGAATTATTGGCTAGTACTGATAAGAGATTGAATCATCCTGGTACCGTAGAACGTTTGAATTTATTTTTAAATAAAAATGGCAACTAAATCCAACTATTCGAACTCTACAAATAATTTACATATTTGGGTCAATCCCATCGTATTTATATTTTAAATTTTAGCCATATGGAGATTAATTACGATCCTCCAATTGCTTACTTACAGTCGGAACTTTATGATTTTGGTTATGATGTTAAAATTTAATTTGTACTTTGACAAGAATGTTAAGGATCCTCGATCAGACGGCATAAATATATTTTGTATACTTGTAACACCTATCAGTGATCGATCTGTCCAATACCGTAATGAACTACTTACTTTATTAGGTTATTCATATACTTACCATTTATGTAGATTTACTTTAGAACATAAAAAGTAGATCGCTAGGCACTATACTCTAGCTTCCGATCTCAGTATTGTTAAAAATTCCATTATTTTTCGATAACTTTGGTTTTTACACTCTTTTCTTTAATACACAATCCACGAAGTTATTCTAGTAATATGCTCTCTTTCTATTGCTATATTACTGTATAGACAAGATTTATTTATAAGATGTTAAACATTTCGTGAGTGCATTTTTATTATATCATCAAAAAGCATCTGAAACATTGGTCGACTAGATAGATTTAATTTTTTTAAAACGTCATTTTAGTAATGTAAATAAATTATTTTTATCTTTTTAATTACTATACACGGTACTGTATAATATACATACGTCCGATACCTATTGTTTAATGGAATACCTTTAGCAGATGATGACAGGGATGTTTGTATAACTCTTCCATTGATTGCCTTGATATTTCATTAATTTATTAATTCAATCTGATTCATATCAGTTAGAAAGGTTTAGCTCACTGTTAAAATAGGATTAACGATTTTGTATTGATCTACTTTTGACATGAATAATAAAAGCTACAATTAATGATTGCCCAATTCTATCTCATTAACTAATTTTAAAATAATCGTGCATAGCATATTTCTACAGTAATATTGGCCAATATTTTGTTATGAAAAGAAGTCTGTGCCTTTACATTACATATCTTTACAATTGATTGTAATGATATCCACAGATATTATTATTAGATTCTGATTGAATCTGCAGAACATATTACTAGTATTTCTTATTTTCAATTTAGGATTTTGAATGTCAACTATCGTTCATCTGTACTATAGCCCGGTTTCAATCATGAGCATTTTTGAGTGAATTAAGGACGGTAGTGTACAAATCGATATTAAGCAGTAAGGTTAATTTAATGAGGTTTCACTGACTACTGTAGACGACTTATTGACGATATTACAATTTTACCTCTGTAATCAGACTTTAACATATCTCAAATTAAATATTAATTATATTAGTAATAATAAATTGTTATATAATATAATACCTTCACGAATTTATTTTTAAATAGTGTAATTAAAATATTTAATTCTTATTGTATTTTAGGACAAATATTGTAATAAGTTCTCAACAGTAAGCTGGATGATACGGTATCGTCTAATTTTATATTTAGTTTTTTGTACTTCTAGCTTGATTGATTTTCCTGTTAGCACTATTGTAGAGTATAACATTATATTCACAACATAAATCCTAAGTATACTAACGACATAAAATTGCTGTTTTATAAAAACATCTTATTTTTAAATGATAGCGAGCAGGAAGGAATAGCAAAAATACTAATACATTTACATATAGCACATGTATAACTCATAAATGGTATTATGATGAAGCATATCATTGTATATTATTTAGTCATTCTCTTCTCTTCTATGTTAACTAATTTTGACGTCATAAAACAGAAATTGAATGCAATACATTATCTTTCCTGCCGAAGCGATCATTAAGTTGGTGATAGCATAACTTAGTCAATAAACATAACTATGAAAAGATCAATTGGCCAAAATTTATCAACAAGAGGAAGCATTTAGTTCATTTTAATGGCACTTAATGATATTGTCGAATTTTGTACCACCCATTAATAAAGTCAATTTCACCTTAATGATATAATCAACACAGCCATGCAAATATAATTAATTATAAATTAATTGACACACTAAAGGAAGAAAATAACTCTCTTAATCATTACGACCTTAGCTATCATCGATAATTATACATCCGAATTGATGTTTTTTCTCCGTGTCCTTTACATTATAATTTTTGTTCTACGCTTTTAGAGTGCTCACTACTCAATCTCTTATTCCATCGTATTATTTCTTAATTTCCGTCTATCAGACGTATTTTACTATTTGCTAGTTATTCCTAACCAAATTTAAAATCCTTTCCATAATAACGTCTTGATCTTAGATTGCATAATTGCAAGTCTACTTGATCAAAAACACCAATGTCATATTCAAAAGTCCAAGATAAGTAATAAATATTGCATGGCTGCGTTTTTGGATGAATTCTGAGCGTTATCTTAAACTGGTACGGATTAGAACTAAATATCGATTTTAATTTCAAGGAAATAGTGTACGACGATGCTTTACTATTTACAAACTTTATTTCTAATATTAATATTCGAAGAGGTTTCATATACAGCCACTTTTAATGTTATTTTTTTCTTCTTTTTCCATACTTAATCGTAATAACTCATTTTTCACTTTAGGTTCAGCTTTATTCTTGTATTGCCGCAAATATTGGACTCTACCTTGATTAAAGGACAGCTACTTTGATCCTAACGGCATTTTCTCTATCACAAGGATTGATATAAAGATGGCTAATGGTTCTAACTTAGCAATGCTTTTATTAGAAGATAACCAAGTTGCAAGAGGGTTAGCCTGGTCTTTTGGCATATTAGGTATAATTTCGAACATTTATGTTTTTATGGGTAAATTTCGACGTTGCCGTCGAATTTTTTCTCGTCACAAGCGTACTGCACCAGAGTATGCTGTCAATGATAGTACCAACGATAGTAAAAATAAACGAGTTTCGGTTTTTTTTATCAACAATTTAGCAGTTGCGGATTTACTTGGATCGTTCTATTTGCTAACTATTGCTTCAGCAGATTATCATTATCATTTACAGTATTCTGGAAATCAAAATAAGTACAATTATCATAGCAATCAAACAATAAATACTAAAAGCTGGAGATGTAAATCGACCCTATCAACCACTTTAGCGCCCTCAGTTAACGGCAATCTAACCATCGGTGCTATGTGGTTACAGGATCCAGTTTGTTCCATTGCAAGACTACTAATTACTATCGATTCATTTATGTCGGTGTTAATAACATTCTTTATTGCTATCGATCGTTATATTACCATTATTCATCATCGAAGCCTCTATCGTATTACTCGTCGGCGTGCAATAATAATTATGGCAATTTGCTGGCTAGTTGGTATAGCTTGTTCTACCTATATCGTCATTCGATCAATTAATACTGCTGACAATGATACCTCGAGTGGTACTTTTCGCAATTTATGCATGTATGGTAACTTAAACGATGTTCCTCTGCAAATATTTCTATTTATATCTATTGGCTTATGGTCTATGAGTTACCTACTTGTACTAGTTTTATATGCTAAAATTATTTATCACGTCCGACGTGTAACGTTAGTTAAAACACGACGTATTACAGCGGAAAGATACTTATTAGTTATAGCTGTGATGATCGCCTTTACCAATTTAGCTTGTTGGTTACCAGCTATCTTAATTGCAATGTTCAAACTGTTGCAGCTATCTATTGTCGAAAGTAGGTCATTTATGCAAATTGTACCCATTGGAATTTTTTTATTAGCTATCAATTCTGCTATTAATCCCTTAATTTATTCTATACTATCGAATAAAATGTGCAAACGATGGGTTAATACAGTCAAGTAATTATTAGATCCAGGACCATATCAGCCAAGTCTAAAAAATACCTGTCTGCATTGCATTTGTTTCAAAATAGGTTTTACTGGGTATAAAAGCCGACTTGTTATGTTTCATCCCTAAGCTGCTATCATCCAAGATAATAATGAATTTTAAGGCTGATATTGGTCTAGATATTCCTATTTTATATAACCCAACCGCAAGGATAGACTGGAATTGTAATATTATTCTGGAATATTACACACGTTAAATTACATCAGGAAATTAAATTAACGTTTTTATTCTATCGAAGAATACGATACGACTGATATTATTTATCGCTAACAGTTTTTCTATTCTAAGTAAACGCGAACATTATATTTGGCAGCCATAAATGGCTTTAGATAATTTATTCTAGTAAATTTAGTACTGTACCATGACAAAAACACTAAAAGATCTTCATGTAAGAGAATTTTAGTTACCACGATATGCGCTGCCGACTGAATGCCTGCATGAATATAGTGAAAATGGCCATTTTTATTTTTCTGCGGTAACAATATTTACGATATTAGTAGGCTAAAACTAAAATTACAGAGTTTAATAAGTGCATTAAAATGTAAGAAATTATAGCCTTATCGATAAGAAAGATTTCTCTAATATTTTATTGGATAATGTAGACCTTATTGCCGACTATCCTTTCAAAATTTGGCAACATACGAGTATATTGTGTAGTTGGTCATTGCAGTATATAGATATGAATGTATCGTATTCTAACAGATGATATAAAATTGTATAATAGTTTGACAATTTATTCATATCAATCTATAAACGTTAAAGAAGATTTTTGTTGCAAAGATACGTGTAAAATTGGCATCTATTACCTTTCTAATTCATTACCGTACTCAATAAGTTAGACGTTGGAGCACTGTTATAAGATTGAATCTTGCTTTGAAAAGTGCTATGAAGATATAACATGTTGCTGGTGAGATACCACAATAGATACCTATGATAGAATATCAAGTAATAGTAACTTATATTTTAAAAGGCACGTACAATAATAGCATACCAAGATATTAATATTATCTGTATACTAGCATACGAAGTATCGCAGTTTCATGCAATGATGGTTACTGTATATTATATTATGCTCATTTGAGAATATCGTGATGATTTAATAGTGCGGGCGTAATAGAACATAGATGATGTGTGCATACTGGCCATGTTAAATTTAATTTATAATGGATTTATTTAAACTAAAGATACTCTTATTGTTTATACTATTTCTGTCAAGAAAATATATACGCTAGACAGGCTGAGCTATTCGCAATTGAATAATCATGTTTATGTGACCGCCATGATCCCTTAGATAATAATAGCATCTTAAGTGAAATTGATGCTGCATCCGATGTATTTATTACTTTGGTCATGGCTATTCGTTTGTAGTAATAGATTAAAAATGTTGAATTATAATAATAAGGCACAATCATTCCTTTTTGTCTCGTGTTTTTATTATCACTTGAGTAGATAAATTCTTTCCTAACACTAATACTATTTTTGTTTTATGTCTTAGTTTTAAGTTCTTTATGACTACTCTTCCATTACAAAAGCGGAATAAAATTACAATTATCGACGTCTTGAGTTATATTTTTCTTGAATTCAGGCGTCGATAGCAATCTAATTTAAATTTATGTAGTTTAGATATTTTCTTTAAATTCAGTAGTATTGAAAGGTTTCATGCAAGATATCGGTTACCATTGCATAAATGAGCTAATTTGAGTACTGTAATAAGCGAAAGTTTAGTTGTAGACAGTATTGCCGCTATTGAATATGACTTCAGAACCAAAGCAATGATTCTCTCATTACTGTATTAAGAATTATAAAGAAGCCAAGTACAACTACAAGCTCAGTCAGCCCTTAATTAAGACTACGTAATATTCATATAATTTACATTGCTGTGCTTTGATTCAATTAGTTACGTCAAACAATAATAGGAATACTCCAGAAGTATTTAGTAATCTAGATCGTCATATAAATTTTAGTCAATTTAAAACAGCGAATTATTAAGAACTTTATAATTCAAAGCAATTTCAAATATAATATGACTACCTAGGACAGTTTGACCTTTAGATTTCGTAAATCCATTAGTAAACCCAAAAGAACTGATTTACTCAAACCGTCTTAAATTTTATTTCATATAGTGGCTTCGTGCTACCGCATATTTGTAAATGCTAATAAAGTATTGCTTGCTGGTATATTATTTAAATAGTCGAATATTCAGTCGGATATATCAGTAATACATGCCAATATCAACAAGATTACCGAATTTCGTAGAATTATTTAAGTGCACATATCAAAATGAATTAAATTATAAAATATAGCGCATGACAACTGAAGTAATCTTAAACTGATTTCAAATGGGGACTGTTACTATAACATTGAGGTTAGTAGGTTAATGGTAAATAAATTAGAGTGAGCAAGATGTATATATAATTTACTTTATAGCAAATATTATTCAGATTTTATACTGCACTTGAATAATTATTAATACGTTGATCCCTTCATATATCAGAGTATTATCATCAAGTATTTGGAATAAAATTATATTATACGTATCTCAGGTGAGTAAAATCAATAAATGTACGATTAACCTACTACTCAATAGCAATTGCTAAATTCAATAAGTTCACTTATCGAAATCAAGGTATTGCTAAAGAAATTTTCAAAGTAACTTTGCAAATAAATTGTTAATAATTATAAATTAACCTTCTATTGATAAATAAATAGTTTTCATTACAGCTACTTATAGTAGATCTTTGCAAATTTACCTTTACTGTATAACAAATTGCTACCTTACTATAAGTTAGTTTTAGTGTATGTTTCCAGTGTTAACGTAAAGCTTCGGTAAGACATACAACAACGACAATTTGCAGTACGAGTATTTGTAAATTCTGTATAATTTAATATGAACACTTAAGATTTACAGTACATCATCCATTTCCTTTTACTAACTATCACAATTTAATCAGCTTCGTCTAATTTTAACAGAGTAAAATGATAACTGATTATTTATCTATAATTAATTAATTTTATAAGCAATATTAGTGATGTTGATGTTAGCATGGCGCATCCTGTATAAATGAATGATGTCGACGACCAATGAATTTATCTGCAAACGATAGAATAGAGAGTGAGGAATGAATTAAACCGTTGCCAGATTGCAGAAATCAATCCAGATGGCTTAATAGTTGTTCATTATTAATTCATGTACATTATCAGTACATACATGTGGCAAGGTGTGGTTAAGATAAATATAAACTATTATGATTTTGTAATTTATATTTTTAGGTTGGTACGTTCTAAAAAATGAGAATATTTCTGAATATTATGCCAAAATATGAAAATGATGACTATCTTGTATCATAGTATAAACTCTTTGGCATCCTTTGTCCAAGTTATAATTGTGTTACTAGATTCTTAAGCATTTCTAGCTATAGACGATTATAAATAGCACTTTTTACTGTGGGGA